ACCAACTCTTAATATAGCAGTGGCGGGAAGGGAAGGAAACGTATTGCCACAGGTGCCACCATCTGCTCCACAGGCTGAAAGGGGAACTTTGTTTTGGAGCTTTATTAGCCCATTCCACTCCCCACTTGCTGAAACTAAGCATTCTGTTATTTGCTGGATTTTGATATACTTCAGTGTCAAAGACACGAAACGGGCAAATAAGTAAAATGTGCTGAGGAAGGTTTCTGAAGGCATAAAGAGGATGCGGGCACCAAACTCCCATCACTCTTCCCATGGGAGCTCTCTACAAAGTACGCTTTGTGGGTCTATTTTTCTTAAATGAAATGAAGCTAGATTGTTTTGTGTCCCTGTGACAAACCTGCTTCTCTGAAAAATGGTCCCCTCACTACACCTTTCTAGAGGCTAAGCTACCACTCACTGTCTGCAGTGAAACACATCATTGAAATGTTATTAGCTAAAGGAACAAAGCCCAGTTTGATTAAAACCTGTGCTAGGTAGGCAACTACAGTCCTAAGTAACAAGATTAGTATGCCTGTGGATGTGGCCAAAATGAGTTACAACACGGCCTGCAGGTGGGCTGGAGCTGAATCTATGGGTGTAGTCACCTCTACCATGTTTTCCATCAGTTCCTCAATTTCCATCAAGTTCAACTTCTGGTCAGTCCTCTAGCCCTGAAGCCTCACTAATCCAGCACAGCAATCATTCAGCTCCCTCCCTAGGGCCTCCTCTGCAGAAGGCAAAGTCAAAAAACCCCTCCAAGACCTAGCAGCAGAGCTCCTCGGAGCCAGATGTTGCAGCTGACTAATGTCAGTGCAGCTGAGGAAGAAGAACTGCTCCTCACACTAGTACAGCTGGCACAGTGCAGAGGGACATATTTTTAAAGCAAGTGCACAGTCTTTTATAATCTAGCATAAAGCATAGATGCCATCCTGCCTGCAGTCCAGAAGATATTAGACATTTTTTATACTAACTGCACATTATTTTATAGGAATATTAGCACTGCTATGTACGTGTGCGTGTGCGTGTGTGTGATGGGGGAGCGCATTTCTTTATCCTTGCTGACTATGGCCTGCACGCTGAACGCTCATTCTTGTTTGGAGTCTAGGAGTCAAAAAAGCTGTGAAAAATTATTAAGATTAAATACTGACTACCCATTTTAGACACCACATTAAAAAACCCTGGTAAATTTTAACTTGAGGGAGAGGAATGCACAAAATGGAGCAGAGTCAGAGAGTCATCAAATTGATTAGAATTTGTTGCCATAAAGATTAAATTGAAAACCCATAGAAGAGCTCCCACTCAATGTGCAAAAAAAAAGTAAGTAAATGAAGAAGAATTGAAAGTTAAATCTGTGTAATATTAAACCGATTAAAGATATCAGATGCTTCCAAAATTGTGCCAGAGAGCAGAAATCAGGACCTGGAATCCAACTTCCAAGAAGGCAAATGATCCAGTGGTTTATATTAAAGCTATGTTTTAGTATTTTCTTTGATATAAAGAACCTCAATCTAATTGTGAAGAGGAGATTATCAGCAGAGGACAGGATACATGCTCTTGTTCTTCAGGACTCTGATGTCCACCATATTCTGTTGTCCTATCTATCTCCAGTCTCTGAGGTTTTCCTCCTGGAGATCCCTTTCACTTTAGTCCATAGAACTTTCTTCACTCAGGCATCAAGGATTCCTCGCCTGCAGGCCACGAGCCTCCTTCAGTGTAACACTTTCTCAGTGACCAAAATCCCACTCAGTCTACAAAAGATGACATTAGGACTCCTCTAGGTTCTCCCTTGCATTTCATCCACATACCATGGGATTGCCCCCAGTAGCGTCTCAGTTCCCCATATCCTCAGGGTTACCCTCAGCCCATTCCCTCTGCCCTCCTGCTCCCCTGCATCTCGGTTGCCCCTGACATATCCTTGGTCCACTTCCCTCCTGTGTCCTCTGACAGCCCCTACACAAGCATTTCAGGCTTTCTGTGTGCTGACCAGCCAGCAGCCTACATAACAGAAAGAACCGATGAATCCACACCACACTATTTTGCTCAGTGCAGTGAGTCTGTCTCCTCTGTGCCATCCAGATTTTGTAGAAATGTAGAAGAACTAAACAGCACTGAGGACTTCGCTGTTTTGTCAAATTTGTTTGGAATTGATCAAAGGGCTCTAAAGTTACTAGGAAGGCACTGACAAGCCAGCACAACGCCCAGGGGAACAAAAGCATGAGGTCCCCTGATCAGGCCTTACACGTGTCTACATCTACCCTGCAGAAAAACCTGCAGCTAATTTACCTTATATCAAGGCTGCTAAATTCCACAGAACCAAACATTACAAACCTGAGTTTGTAATGTTTAACCTGTGTGCCTGTATGTCAGTGCTCTCTAGACACAAAGGATATTCCCAAATGCGAGTTTTGAGAATGTGTGTGTGTATTTTTAGTAAAGTAAATGTTAACACTGGCAAAATTCTGAATTTTCAATCTTAGATGCCATATTTCTACAAAAACAAATACATAAGGAAATGCAATACCTGTCCTACAGCAAGCCACTGTGAATTCTCCAAGGACAATGAATTTTGACAAAATACTCCTCAGTTTCACAGTCTTCCCCTGTCTCAGGAGAAATTTGGCAAAGCTGAGCCCAATTCCCTGAGACATCTGTTCATTCACATAAAAAACCAAGCTGGAATGGTTTCCCAGCCAAGCTATTACCTTCCGAGAAACCAAGGCTCTTTTATTTAAAATCCATGTGAGACAATAGTTGTAGGGAGTTCAATTTCATCATCTCTGTCTGTTCTCACAGCAACCCTGATAAACTGGGCATGAATCCATAGCTGGGAACTGAATTCACACTTTACAGACTATCTGTCGGAAGCACATAACCATGCTGCTTTCTTCGGGAAGGTTTGTGTGTTGTTATCCTCCCGTTACCCCAGAGCTGCACAGGCAGATGCATCAGACGTGCCTACACCAGCGAATGGATGTGCCTGCAATTCTCCCACGTGAAACTGTTTCTCCTCTATATGCTGAGTCCAGAGCCATGTCAGGACTGGCAGGAAGCACAGAAGTCACTGTCCAGCCCTTACCTCTGTCTGTAGGTCACCGGGAAGGCACACAGATCCAGCCCAAGGGCAGGATCAGGGAGGCCGTCACGAAACTTCTCACCTCCCATGTGGAGGGACTGTTTTTACCAGCATGGCTCACGGCAACAGCACCCTGTAGACCTGAAGAGGCTTTCCCTGTGCTGGCTAGACCTCCTAAGAACAGGCTTATCTCTCCTGAAATCAAACAGCAAGCGGATGGGAACGCGATGTGCAGTGCCCAAACCAGAGAACAGCACTAATCGCTGACCAAGGGCATAAGCCAAGGAGCAAGGGAAGCATTTGCACTTTTACCTCAGAGGTCTGCATGAAATCTTTCTGAAAGACAGGAGAGTTTCTTTAATATCAACTCAGTGTGGTGCAGGGAGAACTATTTTCTTACGGGAGATACACAGTGCATTGCAGGAGGAAGGGGAAGGAGTGACATGAAGAAGGGGTTCAAGATGGAGGGATGGCTGAAGAACTGCTGAGGATGTGGGGCCTGAGGTGGGACCCAGCTGGTGGGAGACTCTGAAGCAGAGGCTCTATGGAGTTCAAAGACACGCGTGCGGCCGCAGCTCCATCACAGAGCATTTAGGGCTGGCCTGGAGGGAGCCACCGGCTGCGGGGAGCCAGAGGGAAGGTGACTGCATGAGGGAGCAGCCAGGCGCGGCTGGCAGAGGTAACTGCGAAAAGAAAAATATTGTGGGGCAATGGAAACAACTGAGGGGCTGCACCTTGAAGGATAATATTATGTGAAATCTGAAGGGGCTCCCTGGGCTCACAAGTATTTCACTGAGGAGAAATTGAGCTGTGTTCAGTACAGTATTTTAGCCGCGTTTATTTCCTCAGCATCACAGATGTAGGCAAGACCTCACCACATGATTACCATGAATTACACTGAGAGGGACTAAAGGAGCAGAAATACAGTGATGTTGCCCTAGTCACTAGGGATGGGCTGTGCCTTACCAATCTTGATACCTAACTAAATCATAGTAGAGAGAAAACTGATGATACTGTAAGGATTGTGTAAGGCAACTGCCCGAGGCCATGAGAGACGACAGAGGATTTACATCGAGCTGATTGCGAAATGATGGCAATGCACTTTCCTGAAAAAAAGGAAGGAGCAGCATCAGAAACTCGGGTGGTGCTGGGGCTTCTGATGAAGACAATGTGAGGGAGAAAGGAGTGGAGGACACCAGTGCTTGGTGAAAGAGACGTTATTAAATGTCAGACGATCCTGATGTGGAGAAGGGGCAGACAGCATAGCAAGAGGCCATTGCAGCTGCATCCAGATGCCTGCAAGTGTTTCAGAATCAAAAAGGAGGCTTACAATGGGGGGAAACGCAGGCATGCATCTGAGAACAAGAGTAAAGGAACAACACACCCCACAGACAGGCTAGGGCAGCAGCGTAGCTTACTGCTATCAAGCGACACAGAACTAGTAATAAAAGTATTTGTAAATGCATCAAAAATGAGAGAGGGGCAAAAGGAAAGTGCTGGCTATTAGCAGGAAGGCGAACTAATACCAGAAAGTCCAGTAAAGACAGAAGCGTCCAGAGCCACTTGGTTCAATCTTCACAAAAGTTAATTTTAAGATATTCTAAATGAAATTAATTTTATAGCAGAAACAGGAGGTGTACGGAGGGGAAAGAAAAATTAAAACAGAATAACTAGATGTGAGCAGCTTTCAGGAGAGCATTTATCAAGCACTGGCAAAGTTTCAATGATTTTTTTATTATATTGACATTAATATAAAAAGTGACATTTTCAGAGTCTAGAAAATATCCCACAAGATTCTAATAATTTTAAGATGCACAAGATCAAATTTTAAAATCTTTTTTACATTTACAGCTTTCAGCATTTGAAAAGCATTTCTAAGCATCTGCTTAAAAAATAAGTGCAAATAAGTAGTGTTATTGCAAGAGAGTTTTACAAAATATTTTGATGGTTTTAAGAACATTTTAATCAATATAGTCTGTATTATTTTCTGATTTACTACAACAATTGATTTATTTTATGGGCATTTATTTATGCTAAAGATATTTATTCAGCCAGTTGATCATATCCTTTCGTCCTTCCTCAATATAAGGTTTATCTTGAGGATTGATATCTTGTCTTTTGCGGTGTACAAACCCATGTGTCTGTCCAGGGTAAATTTTAACTTCATAATCAACTTTACAGTTTTGTTTAAGCTTCTGCTCCAGTAGGGTGACCTGTAACACAGAATGTTCCGTGTTGGCTGAGTACGGAGTTAACATGTATTTACAGTCCTCAAATTGTCCTGGTTTTTTACTTTTCTGGGAGCCAGACACAGTGTGTCCTTGCTATCATTTTCTCTTCTACTAATTTTATACCCAAATGCATTGCTGTTACTACACGTGCTTTATTTAACTAGGCTTTTTTCTCCAGTAAAATAACAGCCTGTGACTGTATAAAACTGCAAAAAAAGTATATGGGTTACTCTAATAAGTAACTGTACAAGTTACTGCTGATAGACTTCACACAAAAAAAAATGTGGCAAGATTTTGAATTAATTTGAAATTGAGGGAGGAGAAGCACGGGTACAAAATCAGCAGTTCAAAGCTTTCACTTTTGGCAGGAAAGTGAAAGCCAACACCACTCAATGAAAGCGTGTCTTCCTCTTTGATCCGCTTGATAGATAACCATCTTTCTCCAGTCATTCTCCACCCGTGCTCCCCAGGAAGGCTGTTGACACTATCAGAAAGGAGAAGCTCTGCAGGACAGTGGGAGAAGGAAAAGGATAGTCACAGGATTTTTTAATTCTCCTGCAACTAGTGATTCCACCAGTACAGGTGGGGACTTTCTGCTGATTTTATGCTCCATCAGTATGATTAAAGAGGGTCTCCTATCTTAAACTTGACAGAAGTCTTCCTTTAGATTCTTGCCCTTTTCCTCCTAGGCACTCTCATATATAAATCATCCATATTTTGCAACAGAAACAGAAAGCATCTTTTAGTGTCACTGAAAAACTTTTTGATTTGGGGATAAACAGCATAAATTTGTGTAGAACTAGTGCAAGAGTGAAAGAGGAAGAAAAGTGCAAATTGGTTTTCTACTTTCTCTTAATTAAATATCAAATTAATCAAGCATGAAAAGCATTGGAAAAAAAATTATCTCTGATGGGAAATTCACCTGCTCCAATGGGATGTAGTCATCCTTTTCAGCAAAAATGAAGAAGGTGGGATGGAGCAAACTGGATCTGTCCTCAAAGAACCTGATGACTCCTAGGGAAGTAGGAGAGGCATATACAAAGAGTCATGCTACTTAAAGTGGTTAAATCACTACCAAAGCTATACACTCAAAATAAAAGACATTCTGATCAGTTAGAGCTGATCAGCTTGTAATGGAATTAAACACGCTCTGCTTAAAACTCCCTTTTGTTGTGAGAACTTCCTGTGATTTGGGATGTCATTAAAGACAGAAAGACCAGCTCTGCCTGAGAAAGTCAGGGAAGAATTGTTACATTTGCCCCATTCTTGTGGTTTTCTTTGGGCATCTGCTTCTGACCACTGTCAGAGACAGGGTCCTGTGAAAGATGGACACTTCAGAGCTGCTCACTGGCATGGCCAGTTTTAAGATAATTGTAAATATCCATCATTCCAGATACCTGGTTAGGATTTCAGTGTACGTATATTTATACTGATTTAAATTCATAACAGATTTATATTGTAATTCTGACTGTTCAAATATATTTGAATTTAAGTAGCAGTACAAATAACTAGCTACCACCCTGGCCACTCTTCATTATTGAAATTATTACAACAGAAAAGTAAAAAATTAGCAAGTAGCATTGTTGAATTGACACAGCTGATTGGCAAATCAGTGCAGCAAAATAGTCCCCATAAACTTTCTGGAAAAATATCTTCAACTTCCTTTCACCACAAATGAATATAAATTGCTCTGGGTTATAGAGAAGTACAGAGGTTTATAACAAAAATATTAAAGGTAGCATAAATGCCCTTAGTAACTAAGGTTACTTAGTAACAGAGAGTTTAAAAATGGTTCATATTAGTAACAAGGGGACACTACCAGGAGTAACATTGAGGAACAAGGTGTTCATGTCATGACCTGCAGGTCTGCAGCCTGTGCAGCCCCCAGCCCAGACGACCCACTGGCAAGAGACCCTGCACTCTAACAGAAGGACAGCAAAAAGGTTGCAGCATATCACTACTGCCATGTCTTTCCCTGTTAGCCCAACAGAGGAACAGAGTACAGACATGTGCATCAAACAGGTTTTCCAAACGGCGAAAACCAGACAGTGGGCAACAACCTGTCCTAAGACTTATGGAGACTGAGGTAAGCAAGTTAATGTGGCGAAGATCCACCTTATAGTAACTGCTGGCTCCTAAAAGATACAAAAAACGCGTCCAGAAACTATTTTGTCATTGCCAGCCAAGGGAAACCTGAGCCATAGTGAGGCCTTGGCATTTGGTGTCCCTTGTACGCTATGTTGCACAGGAGCGATCCTGGCCATGCGGCTTGGATACATAGATCTTGCTGGTTATGATTAAGTGCAAAAATGTGAGCGTGTAAAATCAAATTGCTTAAAGATTTTGTATGATAAAATCACCTTCTTCCATAAGATGTCACACGGAATTTTGTTACAGTAATACTCCTACAGAATAAGTTCCTGCATGGGTCATGCCTGCTCAGAACGTAATAGGTATTTGAGACTTACCATAGAGGGACACCCCCGTCATTAAATGAGGATTTTTCAGCATCAGATGTTGTACTGCTGCTCCACCCCAGCAAAACCCAATGACACCGATCTTCTTTGCACCACATTGTTCACTTAGATACTTCAGGGTGACATCGACTTCTCTGAGACATGTAAATGAAAGTGAATTAAGGCTCTGGCTCTATTCCCCTGGCCTCCAAGGTGGCTGCTGCTGCTCAGAGACTGGCTGGGCATCGATCTGCTTGTGGGAGGTGGTGAGTGACTGTCTTTGCATCACTCCTGGTTTTTCTCTTTCCTTCACTTATCAAACTGTCTTTATCTCAACCCATGAGTTTTCTTGCTTTTGTTCCTCCTGTTCTCTCTCCTGTCCCTCTTGGGGGGAGTGAGTGAGCAGAGTATAGGTGCTTGGCTGCTGGCTGGGGTCAACCCACAACACTAGTTTACTATTCATTTCTAAAATACAAGAGAAACTCCAAGGGAGAAGACAAAGGAGAAAATCAGTCTTCCTAGATCACTGTTACTAGAACCTAAGCTGATTTTATACACAGCAGTCCAATTAATTTCACAAACGGCAATAGTTGTCTTACAGGCTAACACAAATAAAAGTTTAAGAGACACACAGCCAGTCAACAGCACCCCATTATCACAAATGTGACTATAGGTAAACTATCATTGGGGAGACAAATATTTTATGAAATTGTGGAAGTAAATTTGAAATTGTCGCTTCAAAATCAGCAGTAACATTATGCAATCAAGCTACGTGTCAGATAAAAATAGGAAAAATATAGCTAGAAGAATGGGAAAGTAGTATGCTTTGAACTAGCTGGGATCTGATGGGGAACAGGACCAATGTTCCCTAGGTAAATAGCGTTTGGTGACTATGTTTGCACCCTATCTTAAATCCATGGAAGTTCTGCCTGCCTGCAGGAACTGAATCAAACCGTAGTAGAAGGAGTGAGCTGCGTTTTCTAGCCTTTGCCCGTTCTTTTCTTTTGAGTCATTCATCTCACTTCTACTCTCTGCACAGGTAAACAGTGGGCGCTTTTATTCTTGTTCAAAGTTCTACTTTTCTCCAAAAAGCACCCCTCACATAACCATGAGCTTGACCCACGTGCTGCATGAAATTTCTGTTTGTGGACATCCAGCTGTATTTGACCCATTAATAATTTAGGGTCTAATCCTGCATCTTTACTGAGGCAAAAATTCCTACGAAAGCAGGATGTCCACTTGCTGGAGAAGGAACAATGGTTGTACTTGTCTATTTTGCCGGCATTTCGGGTTTTCAGCCAGTCATCAAAAGACGCCCAGTCATTAGAAGGTTTCCAAGCTTCTTGTCCCACAAAAAAATCTGGGCAGATGGCTCTGCAAGAAAAATGAAAACAGTTTATGCCCATGAAATAATCTTGAGAAAGGGTTAAAGGGAAGTCCGTGTGTACTATATAACAAATTAATTTTGTTGAGTATGCATAGACTTTAATCTACCTCAAAGCACTATACAAGCAACCCTCATTATCTTTTTATGTCTAATAAGGAGACTTAGCATAACTTCCAGATACATTTTTCACTGTTAAAATTCATTAATTAATTTGACAAATTGTTAACTGCAATTGAAAATCCTTAGTGGTTTCCTACCAAATTTAAAAAAACAATTCTACAATTCACATGGTACATACCTTTGGGCTAGAAGGAATGCTAACCCAGTAATACAGGAAAGAGGATACCAAATATGCTTTCCACGTATCTGAGAAGTTGTTTCTTTCTTTGGCACAAGCTGGTACACTTTACCTTCACGGAATGACTTTCAGCTTCTCTGGAATTTTTACCGTAACAGCAAAGTTGCACAGATGCTAGGTCGGGAGGGAGGAAGCGGGCTGCTTCGGGCTCATAGAGGATGAAGGATGCAGAGTAAGATTTTTCTCTGTTTCCTCTCTCTTCTTCTGTGCTTCCCTACTATCTTGTTACAGTAGGACTACTCAACTATGTTAGACTTCTTACAGTGTTTTAACAAACAGGAAACTCTGTAGAGAAACATCTAAGTGAAGCCTATGAAATTATTTCTGTTTGCATCATTTATATAAAAAAAATAGTTGGTTGAACAAACCTTCTTATTAAAAAGACACTTTGAAAACAGGAGTATTTCTTACATGTATCCATTAGCCGCAAGCATATCAGCCATGTATCTGGTGTTTGGGAGCTGCCATCCAAATATATCATGGATCACAATCACAGCTTTGTCTGTGCCGGCAGGTGGTTTGCAAACGTACGCCTTGATGTGCCCAACTTGCACCTCCTGCCCACGGCCTCCATAGTCCAACCTGTCTCCAATATCACATGGGCAGGGCCTGGATTCATTAGCCATGTGTGATACTAAAGAACAAAAAATATTCAGTTGTGAATATCCCAGCATACCATACTGAAAAAGATCAAAATACTGCAGTATCATAGATTATCGAATTTTTGAATCATTACAGTAGTATCGTGAACATACTGGTTACTGTTAGATCTAACATGCAACATTAGTCAATAAGCCCATTGGGTTGTTTTTTTATAAATAATAATCTTATTAGAGTTAGTTATCTTACAAACCCTTCAGCGGGGACCTGGTACCTAACTAGGGCTTCCGTGCCCTACAGTAGTACAGTAAAAATAAAGTTAAGATCAACCAGCCAGGCAACCATCACAAATTATTTAAACAGTGATGGAGCCAGTTCTTTCACTCTTCATCATGTGCATGTCCTTGTCAGGAATGCATAACTTTCTTTAATATGGACTGTAAAGGCTTAATACAGGACTTAGCATTTTGAAGGAAAAAAAAAAGAAAAAGAGAACACAGCTACTGTGTAGAAAGATACAATTACACTTAGATTAAATGTGATATTTTCCTCCAGAGACCTAAAATATTCCATAGCTGACCTTTTCAGTGTCAAGGAATTCTTTTTCTAAACCAGCTTTAGCATCAGATATTGCAGACTCTTGAAGGAGGATACTTAAGGAAGGTGCCAGTAAAAATGTACCAGTGAAAGCCAGAGTATAAAACCATATTTATCTAATATTAAATAAGGAATGCATTCAAACCCCAAGACAGAAAAAAGAAAACCGAACATAAGGAAAAAATCCTTAAGTTGAGCCAAAAGTTTTATGAACAAGGCAACAGTAGGGCATGGTTAATTTTTTACGAACTATTGCTTAAACGAAAATAAACAAGTAATTCACAAAGGTCAAAAAATGCCAGCCAAATCTAACACAGATTTATGTAGCTCCTTGGTCTCAAGTTAATGATTTTATGCCACTGACCTTAGGTTAACCAGCTGAGTGAACTGACTTCATATTGCTGCAAAATGACTCAAATAACATATTTGAATATGCACAGAGTATCTCCAAATTATTAAAGAATGTGGAGAGAATTTAGATAAAGCTTTACCTAAACTCTCTACAGATAAATTGTGTGTACTAAGAAAATTTTGCTGGTACAGAAACAAGGATGTTCAAACTTGACTATGCCAAATACACTCACAGAGAGAAATGGGAAGCAGCAGGTTACTGAACAGTCCCTGAACTAGTGTGACTTACATAGTTGTGGCACTAAAGGGACAGCTTTAGCAAAACAAACAAGCAAACAACCCTACAGCCAGAAGATTTGCACAGGTTTCCAGGGACCAAGATGTTCTGGATTTGCAGGCTTTAAAATTGAGAATATCCCAAGCAGCATTAGCAGGACTAGGGTTGCAGATCTCGGGAGATTTCATTTTCACAGATCAATTCAAGACAAGGTGTATCTTATTTGAAAGCTGTCTTAACTCTGGGCATGCATTTATACTCATCTTCTACTTTTATTTTAAATAAGCTACACCTACTCATAGATGGTTTTTTTCCACATGTAGTCTCACATATAGGACTTCTAATTTAATATAAGTCTACCAGGAAAAAATGAATTAATAGATGAGCATATAAGACAAAATACAGTTTAAATATATAATAGGAATAACTAATTTTCTATCCACAAACTATTTCCTTTTGATTAGACTAACATATAACAAAACCAGCAACTGAATACTAAAGAAACATATATTTCAGAACTCCAGAAACACAAATGCAATGCCCTTACTTGTCAGTATATCCTTAAAGGCTTTAATTGCAAATATTTCACATTATCTGATAAAATGTAAAGCAAAATGTAAACCATGAAATGTTTGAAGATTCAGATACAGCAGCTGAGGAAAAGAGCTCCAGACACAAGCCTGCGAGGGGTAGTGTTGGCTTGTACGGTTTTATAAGCCATATAGACTTGCAAGCTTTGCAGCATAATCAAAACATTTTGGTGTTTCTACATTGCCATAGTATGCATTACATGCAAATAGTATCTTTTTCCATTTCTGAAATGCTACTGAAACATTCCTTAAAAATTAATCCCCCTCTCTTACATCCATCAAAGCTGTTCTTTCAGGAGGATCTGTAAACCCACAGCCTTGGTGTTCCACCATCTCCACCTGCAAGCACTCGAGCATTTATTTGAAGAGCAAACAATAACTTTAGTTTTCAGAAACTTGAACGTACAATCAGAAAAATATAAAGACATTGCTGTACGGCTCTTTCACTTCCAACAGACTCTCCTGAGCCCTCCCCCTGAGAGGTCTTCTTCACCTCAGGAGGGAAACTAAACGGTCCCTGCACCATCATCTCAAACAATTAGGGAAGAAAGTAGCCCCCGATGGCATTTAAATGAGCACGCACTCTTTAAAAAGCACATAGATAAAATGAAAGTCTCCCAAACATGCTGAGCCAGACCTCAGCATGCCCTTGGTTTACATTCCTCAGGAGGAAAAGCTGTGAAAGTTTAAAAAACCCAACCAAACCCCCACACGTACCTGTAGCACAGCAAGCGTGCGAGATAGCAGAGGCCGGTCGCAAGAGCTCAGCGTGAATGGTTACGACTGAGTGTGATCCCAAAAGACAGTGCCAACTCATAAAATGAAAGGGGTGAGTGCGAGGATCAGGTTTCTTCAAATAAGAGTTACGTAAGGCACTGCCTTTACCTTTGCCTATCGCAGAGTCCCAAAGCTGACAGGTCGCTCTTCTTAAAGCCGTTCATTTTCTTGCTAGTGTAGGCAGGGTGCGCTACTGTGAGGAGTACTGCTATAGCATGGTGCCAAACCTTCCTTTTAACTTACACAAAATGGTATTAAGCACTGGAGGTCTTGTCTTTTCAGCTTAGGAAACATGCTGACTTAGCTGAGCAATTCATTTAGACAAAACTTTTTTTTTTTTTTTAAAGGGTGTTCCTTTGTTTTTAAAGGTTGGGGTAGTACCACTTTTAAACATTACGTTGTCATTATTATTTCCTTAGACTATTCATCCGTTGGTAAGACATACCTGAAGTCATCAGCAGGGTGAGGCAGTGAAGTAGGGACATCGTTTCAAAGCTCTATACAAGACAAAGTTTATACAGGAAAAATATTTTCTCTTTCAGACTGAAAATAAATAACATGCAAAAAGGTAACAGTTTTGTAGATTGCTGTACATATCATTATAATAAGTGTTTAAAATGCTGATACATTTTTATCCTACCATCACAGGACGCTTTATACTTTCTTTTTTTCCTTTTGAATTAAAGTGACTTCCTGATCCTTGCATCCCTCCCATTCTCCTGATTGTATTGGATTATTAGGATTATTCTTTAAAGAGCTTTACCTAAGGATATTAGCAAGCCAAAATTCACTGTTTCCTCAGAGGCACATTTAAAAAGTAGCACTAAATGCACACACATTAGTCTACCACACTTTTGCCTCAGGATAGTGACCGGCCTTACAATTTAGTCCTCATATATAAGCTGTTTTCCCATAGTCTAAATAACTTTGTCAATGCTATTTATTTACAAGTCCTAAAATAAAGTCAAATGAAGGAAAAAAGTCCCACCAAAGAACTCCAGAGTGAAGTCATAAGGTTCAAAACCCAGCCCTTTTGTTTTGGTTTGGTTTTTTGGCTTTTCCCACTTGTACACTACAAACAAAAAATTATAGCACACAGGGAGCTTAGACACTCCACGGCACTTTCAAAGAACAGTAGTGAAATAAATGAGAGAAAAACTGGCAGTTTAAATCATTCCTGGAAAAGAGAAATGACAGCAACGCTTGCAGAACCTTCTCTCCACTGGAGTTGCTTAACCACATTTCCAGTGCCTTAGTCACAGTAACGTGGCTCTGGAAATCCTTCCTTATCCGTAAGACTGTTGCCCTTTACCGTAATATTAACTTTAAACTTTAGAAATCAAATGGCTTTTAATTTGATTTCCTGTTGTTTCCGTGTCCCTTGCTAAGCAATCCACACAGTTTCTTTACTTAGAAGTCAAACTTAATTCAACTCATCATGACCTCTGTACCTGCAGTCGGTTGCGCTTTGTACTATAAACACATACCTCTTTTGGATCTCGCATTCCCACCTCTTACTCAGTGACTTCGCTTTATCGCGAAGATCTGGCTGTACTTGTAGTAACTTGTAGCTACCCTTTCGCTTCAAACAAATGCTGCATCTCAGTTCGGTTTTTTCTTTTCGCTTAGTCACGGTGTTAGCGTTACAGTACACGTGCCGTTTCAGTATTTATGAATGACTGCTGTTCTCTAAATATATGACCTGATCGTCCTCTTGCGCATTAGCTAACCTTCTAATGCTAATGGAACTCCATTAATGTGGAGTTATCCAGGTTTTACACTGGGGTAATTAAGGTAGAATAAACTTCCAGACCTCTGCCACCTTCTCCTGGGAAAATGTGTTGTGAGAGCTGTATCAGCCAGGCAACAGCTGGATTAATATATTACATACAGATGGTATCATATGAAAAGCAACGCTAATCAGCAGTCGCAGGCCAGAATTCTCTGAAGACCTCCCCACAGGAAAGACGGAGGGCCATTAGCAGCATGCAAAGGAGGAAAATATCGATGGGAAAAAGCAAAAGAAATTAAAATCCCATTGAGAGAGAGACGGTTAATACATACTATTGACTATTTTTAAATGACACACTGCAATGTATATTTCTCTGATAGTATATCAGTTTAATTTGGGAGATTGTCATTAGTAAAATTAAGGCTTTCCTAAATTACATTTTCTTCCCATTAAATCACATAGCGGTCTTTATCAGTAGCACTGAGAAGGTGAAAAGGAACATACATTCTTTTCTTCTTTTTTCTCCTTATAACGTTAGAAGTATCAGCACCAAGTGCAGATACCGGGCAGCTGGTGTCAAACTAGCAAACACAAGCCTTTCTCCCCATGAGGCATAATTAAAGTGTGGAAGTCACTGTCAGAGGCTGCACTAGAGGTCAGCATTTCAAGCAGGTTCAAAAAGGGACTGGCAAATTCACAGAGGCTCAGTCCATCAGTGGCCATTCCACACACCGCTCCGGTGGCAACATCCAGCTCAGGAATCCCCTGAACGGCCGGCTGCCAGGGTGCGGAGTGAGAGGGGAAATTCCCTACGCAGCCACCGCTGGCCACCGACTTGAACTGATGCAACGCGGAGATTTTTGTCGTATCATCAATGGAAAAATTACCTAACAAGATACATTAGGCAAAAACATGTAACATTTCTTCTTTAAGCAGCAACCCTGGTTTGTACGCCACACATTAAAATGCCCTGTCTGCAGATTGCATTGTACTTTTGAATTCCTAAACTGACCAGGAAATCATCTGCAGAGTTTCACGGAACAAAAGGTAATCTGAGAAAGTAGTACCCCATCCGAATAACCTTAGCCACAAATTTTGAATCAAGATATGCCTGTTTACGTCACCTGTTAAATACACATCTGCCACCAGGGTACGAGTCAAAAAAGCCTAGTCTCTCAAGATGAGCTTCACCAAACAATATATTTGTGTCCCTAAGTTTTGGGCTTGTGATTTATGTAGAACTTAGATGAACAGTGGCCATAATACACAAAGAGATTGATTTACCATTGGTCTAACTTATTTCAAGCATTAAGGAACTCTCAAGGAACTGAAGAATATTTCACAGCACATGACACTGCTAGGTGAAATCTGAGACTTCTTCAAAAGAACTGTCCTGGTTTCGGCTGGGATGACAGAGTTAATTTTCTTCCTAGTAGCTGGCATAGTGCTGTGTTTTGGATTTAGGATGAGAATCATGTTGATAACACACTGATGGTTTGGTTCTTGCTGAGTAGTGCTTACACCAGTCAAGGACTTTTCAGCTTCCCCTGCTCTGCCAGGTGCACAAGAAGCTGGGAGGGGGCACAGCCAGGACAGCTGACCCAGGCTGGCCAAAGGGCTATGCCGTACCGTATGGCGTCATGCTCAGTACATAAACTGGGGGAAGAAGAAGGAAGGGGGGGGGGGGGGGTTCAGCGGGAGGGGA